CAACATGAATGAAAATTACTTACCATTTGCCTTCTCATTTCTTCTTCAGCTTCCGTGACATTTTCAGAAGCCTCACCGCAGCCACCACTAGAAGACATTGAAGCCTTCTCGAATCACTAACCAGAAATCTTGAATGTAAGAAAGAAGATGAAAACAGTGGCACAGTTGCTATAGTTGATATGATCACAATCAGTCGGGGCGGTGTCAAGTACAAGGAATGAGCCCACCCTGAGCTGGTTTCACCGCTGGTTTTTCCTTGTAAACTGGTCATTAGCCGATCAGTTTTAGATGAAAAAAGACCGCCCGAGTGATTACGACGTTACCAACTAAAAAGTAAAAAGAAGCGAAATAGAAAGGATGTGTTGACCCTGTCAAGCGGTTATCTCACGTTCCCATAAAATCCACCCACTTAGAGGAACTGATCAGTCAGCAATTTTTAAAAGATCCTGTTAGGAAGGGTGAGGTACTTCAACGGTTATCTAACGAGGGTGCCCGATAAATATAAAAGACAGACTCATGCATGTCATAATCTAATCGTTACACCTTAGAAGAAGAGAGACCCAAAACTTGGTATCAGCTTGGAGCTCGTCCATACTTCGCGATCCGATCGCTTAGATCGCGCGATCCAAGCGACCGCATCGCGGATGGATGCGTTCTTGGACGCCGCAAACTCTCATTTCTTAAGTTCCTCTGAAGACACATCCGTGATTATCCAATGGAGAGAGCATCTGATCGGCACAGACGGTCCACACTCCCACAGTTCGGCTCCAAAGCGACGAGCGAGCTGCGGCTTTGCCGAGTCGAGGTGGTACGAACATACAGCGAAAAGAGGGCGTGCTTGGACGAATTATCATTAGTTGGTATCAGAAAGATATAAATCTTTTCCCTTATGACCACAGTCTCACATTTAGGAGGAAGATTTGGAAAGGGAAGGGGAAGAGGACGTTTGACCCACCAGGGAGCCTCTAGAAACGAGGTATTATAGGGCAGTGGGCGGAGCATCGCCTTCTTCATGACCTTTCGGCGTCATTAACACGTAGCATCGTTACCCAGCTCAACTACCTAAATTCCCCAAACTACTTAGAGAATCTGAAGGTTTGCTCTTCGGAAAACCGATAGCTATCTTGAGCATTTCCTTTTGATAAAAACGAAAAATAGAAACAATGGAGGCAATTCGATTTCACTGTGTGGTGAGGCTTCTGATAAGAGCTAGCCTGCGTTCGACATGTGCTGAGACCGACAAGAGAAAGTGCAGATCACCATCAGAGCCTAGCAACGATCTACGACATTCTTACGGCTGTGACAAGAGAATTACGTGGGTTACCCTTCTTCCCTAAACAGTTCCCAAATACACAAGGCCTACTTTTTGAGTTGATTAAATCGGATAACAACCACACCAAACAAACTTTAACAAGAAGAAACTGAAAGAGTTATGGAAATTAAGCCAAGCGATGCGACTAGGCGTCAGTTGTGCGGCTTTAAGTGACTCGCGTAACATACATTTTGATCGACGCCTAGCCCCCTTCGAAGGAATCATGGTTTCCAGCCGTTCTTTCTCCTAGTTTTCCCTTCAGAATGCTGTCGCAATATTTTTATGATCACTAATATTTCGTAATATACTTCCCTTTTCTTCGTTACTCGTACTTTATCGGAGAAGCCGGAATAAGAACATTTGGGTATAAGCGCACAGCTTTTGGAGAGGCAGCAAACTTACCCTCCCTGATAAGTTGGTACCAATCAATCCAACTGCAGAGAATATAAGGCGAAAGTCTTAATGCCCTTGCGCGAAGTTCGGTGTTCATGACCATTGAAAGGCGATGCGGCGGCTAACTGGGATTTCATTTCGAACTCCGTCGTTTGGAGAGGGGTAAGAAAGAATCTCTTTTCGAACGTTCCCCCTTAAGTCTTGATTTCAGTATGAACAGTTTTAAATCGCGATGTAGGGAAGGGCAGTTGCTGTCAGACGAATCGACATTATTAAAATACCCCACTTACTTTCACATCGCCGCCGCATAGACAAGTCGACCAACCGACAAATTTTGT